GGAAAATTGGTAATCTTAAAACTACAAATTTCGGAAATATTTTAAGGAAATATTACTTCATAAAAAATCAAATAAAATAAACATGTCCAGCTGGAAGTCCCAACAATACCAGGCAACATTTTTGGATCTTTAAGGACAGATTGAAACTGCTGCAATCTTATCATTCATCACATCATCTGCACGGTAAATTCAACACTTAAGTTTCTACCGTAAGAAAGATCAATGGAGTTTCTTAATGGAGAAATATGTATATATTTAAAGAAGAGAAATGCATGAGTAACGGGAATCAAATTGAAGAATTTAAGGTTCTTTGCTTTGGGTATAATCTACCTAATGCACCAGCTTTTACGTGCAAGTTTGATTTGAAAGAATAAGTATTCCTTGTTCAAAATTATGAAATTTATTTGCGGAGTAAGGAATAAGAGGGAATGAATGGAAAATAAGTGGCAAGGGATCTAAATAATCACCCTGAAGAATTCTCCGAACATCCCTTGGAAGGGACTTCTGCGTTGAACTCCAAAGAACTTCTCAGCAATGTCATCTAGATACTGGAAAAATAATCTTCATGTTAGAAATTCAAGCATGCATGCAGTTACTTTTTAAGGGTAGTTTATAAATAGGGAATAAAAATTGAGAAGACATGCATTTTAATTAGCAGCAATGATTGCCCCACCTCATTAAATGTTGGTTCCCTGTCTATGCTTGGCTTGTAATTAATTCTCAACATATTGAAAAGAGGCAAGGCATCTCTTTCCACCCTGCACCAGAAAAAATTATCCACCCATTATGCTCATCAAATTTGTCAAGAATATCACAGATCCTGTATTTCAATAAGGGTATTATCCAAACGAACGGAACAGAAGTTGGACAACCAACTCCAGAGTGAAAATGAAAGACATTGAATGAAGAATGGCCTCAGGCACACTTTGAACAGACTTATAGACATCATATAATTCAAGAATGACCGCATGCACGTTTGTGGTACAATGAAGGTAGGCAATGCATTAAAATCAACCTTAACATTCTTTCAAAGACTGCCAATTTTCAATAAGTAATAAAAAGCAACATTATCAGTACAACAAAATGCATTTACATATGGCATCCAATCATTACTTCATGAATAGAGAAAATGCATCCTTTCCATGTCAATGGAATATAAATCAATGAGAAAAACAACTTACGTTTGCAATAGGAAGGAGATAAAGTGGATCAAATCAGATTCAGGGAACTCAAGATTCTTGGCTTCCATTTGTTCCTTCACTTCATCCATAATATCATTAGCATCTCCAAGATTACCCATAGATAGATACCTAAAGATAAAAACTAAGTTAGAGTCTAATACCAATAGATCAAAACTAAGTTTACCTATTAAGTCCAAAGCCTTTATATTACAAGCAAAAGTATTAACAAGTGGAAAGGAGATATTCATGAACAAGCATACAACACCTGCCAAGATGAAAGTACAGCTTACGACAGATCAAACAATTCACTATTGTTCAGTTACACTAGACATTGAAAATTTAACAACTGACTACTCTAAAAAGGAAAATATGTGCCCTGGTTTAAATGCCTTCAGAACTGTTAGAAGCCATGATAGAATTTCATTTGCATTACACGTTTGTAATGACAGGAATAGTAAAATTGCAAGTGCGCAGATTTAAGTCAACTTACATAAGAACTGCCCGAGCAATGGCCAAATCATCTTCACCAGGATAACACTGGAGGGTTAAAACATTCATGTCAAAACACATTGAATAATCATAAGAAAGGAATAACCACTTCCATGGATTCAGACAAAAATTTGGCTTTTCAATTTAGTTGCCTAAATCATGATTTCTTAAGTGCATATTTCAGAATGTATAGGTTAGTATCTTTCTTTTATGAACAAACACTGCTTCCAGCTTCTCTCTTTTATAAGCATTGAACCTTGAGCAAAGAGAATGAACCACTAAAGAGGTCATGCTTAAACTAATGATTAGTTATCAAACTAAATTCTTTTAACTAATTCAAAGGTATGAACCACAAAAAGGAATCTTGAAAGTGAGGAGGAGTTTCAACAAACATAAAATAATAGGCGTCAAAACTTTGCAATAGCTACACGTAGAAAAAAATTCCATAGCAAACCTATAGATAAATGAAACTCTTCAAAAATTACCTTCCAAATAAATGAGAACTGTTATTTATTTACATCGTGGTGTACATAGAAATATGCACACCATCAATCACAATATATGAAAAGTCAATTTGTGCACACTGTAACATATTGGGGGACTTAGAGAATGAAGAAAGCTAACCTTGCCCATGAAATTGACCAAAGTTGATGCAAACTTCTTTAGGTTGTCTCCTCTAACAAAATGATATGACACTCTAGCCATGTCCTACAAACAGACAGCAGATGGTTGTTGACATAAAACAGGAAGTAAAGCATAAAATAGCAGATGTTGGTGCACTGCTTGTTCCACAAGACCTACCAACTCAGGAGATTCAGAATATATGTAAGCAGCCAGCATAGCATGTAGTTCAGGAGCACCATGCCTGTTAGCTCCAAACTCTATAGACCACCTGAAACACAATAAATATGGTCTTAACAGTTTGAAGCAGATTCATAGTAACATTTTCAAACAAAAAGTCATCCCTCACTCTCCCCTTTCCACTTTTTACGTCCATCCATCTTTTCTTACTGCTAAGAGTGTCAGCATAACATTTTTTTTTTTAAAATGGTAATAATTAATTTCAATGTATATGTCAATATATAACATTATTTCCAGTCACAACCTGGAGAGACAGAATTTAATCTACCAAATAAATTTTACTAGAATGGATTTGATAGAATGACAAGAAGGTACTAGATAGGTTGAACATCGCACTAAATCTTGCTTCAACATGACATGACATGCCAAGCATAGTAATAATTAAGAAGCTTTAATAATCCGTCAATGAAGTAATTTCTAATAGTTTGTTTTGGATATGTACTCAAGCAACTTCATGTTCTAGAAAATACAGATATTGTTGTCATTTTTCAATATAACATAAATAATTAACTTAACCAAATTCAAGGGCACAAGATCTTACTTAATAGCAGCCTTTAGGAATGATGAACAACCCTCCACACGTAATTTTGCTGCCCCAAGTGCTTCAGCAAGTTTTTGCTCATCATCATCTGGCCCCAAGTTATGTGGCACTGGAATCTGAGGAAACATCTTATAGATTTTCCTGATGCAGTCTAACATATGTATTTTGTAATCATCGTGACAAGAAACCAAAAAAATTAAATAAATCAGCTGCAATGAGGAAAACATCAGAACTTTCAATTATATCAAAATACTTATATCAGATTTCATCCATACAAATAATAACTTATCAGAATGAAAGAAAGGTAGCTAATAGACATTATTCATCACATGCTAGTCACAATTTGCAATTAAAATTACATTATGAGGCCTGTACTGACCAAGGGAATTGTCATCATAAGGAGTTTTCCCTTTAACAAGTGTCTCCACAAACAAGACTGCAAGCTCTGCCCCACAGGTGATCTAGAGATTTTTCATACCCAAATGTAAGTACAATGAACTATGAGGAAAAGCAGAGCAATTAGAATACCATATGCAAAATTACATCCTGCACAATTCAAATAGATTATAATTTCAACTGCAAATCAAAGACAACACCCATTCCTTATATTTCCAAACATAGAATATAGGCTTTTAGTAGACAAACAATTCATTAGATACCATAGCCAAGCTCACGCCTGAGATTTGTAGCATGCTTATATCTTTATTACATGAACCTATGGCCAGAACCATTTGGCCTTGTACAACATTACCCTTTTTGTTAGAGAAGTGTGCATAGGTTGAGCACTTCTTACCATAAGAGCAATGTGGGGCCTTTTTAAAATATAATAGGGGAACTGGGGAAGGGGGGATCAACCATTCAAACCCAGAATGCTACTACTCTAGGGCAGGAAACATGCTTCTTACCAATTGGTAAGGAAGGATTAAGTAAAAGGAGTGAGAATATTGGCAGAACCCCATAATGCGTAGACTTAAAAGAGAATAACCTGGTTATTTTTCAACTGAAGGCATGCGCCCGAATGAAGGATATCCAAGGCCTCAGGATATCTCTGAGCAGATGCATAGCTGTAATAAAGTATACAAAATTCATAAGCTCATGTTTTAATATCAAAGTAGAGAAATTTCTCCAAATCTAGACTATGTAACTCAAACCCTTCTTATGGACAGCCAACAACTAATATTAGTTAGTTATGTCTCTTACTTTAGTTTAATTGAAACATATCAAAAGGAACAATAATACTTCAGTCAACTCATTCATCTACCCTTAGCAGTCTGCCACTAGATAAATCCCCATCTCTCTACAGATAACCAACATATAATAGAAAAAAGAAATCAGTAAAAGAAACTTGTTGGCTTGAAGTAATTTAACCTAACTTTTAAAATGCCTTCAATCTAATGACACCAGACTTTTGCCATTAGGATCAGTACAGACCATCAAGCAAAAAAATATCAATTTCAATAATTTGACCTAAAGAAACATAATATTGAGAATAAAAGAACCCTTACCGTGCACTGATAGACTTGTACATCTGCTGAGCTCCATAGAAATTACCCTCATTTATAACTTTTTCTAATTTCTCAATATTCTGTGCTTAACAGAAGAGGCAAAACAAAACAATCAGTAATTATTCTGCAGCATCCACCATAACCCATTACAACAAGCAACATTAACCCCATAAAATTACCAGATTTGGCAATTTAAACAAATAAAATCCGATTGGC